AATTTTAAAACACTTAAAATTTCTTTCCTTCTCTTAAATAATATCAAAATTATCATTGTGAAAATTTCACCCACACTCAAATGCATACCTACACCTCTGAAAACCATTATCTCCTAAAACCTTAGCAAAAAAAACTTCCCAGAACCCCTCTCTCATAATGGTGGAAGAAAAATGTTTATGAAATGAATCGATTGGTATAAGGAACATATTCTCTATGATGTTCACTTTTTTTTCGGATTCAGTACGTATGTCTTCCTTAAATTCTATACATTTCCTTGATCAATCCTAAACCTTAAACACAACAGATATAAATATATATATATATATATATGTATAATTTGAAGGGAGCAAATCCGGATTTTGCTCAGTCTCAATTTCGTTCCTCCCCTATCCTCGAAGTCTCTCTTATCTCTCTTTCACTGAGAATATTTGGACTTGTGTTTCCGAACAAATAAGTTATGTTCGGACTTGTGTTCGTGAACAAATAACTAATGTTTTAGTCTATGTTCCCGAATTTGAAAAAACGAAAACTCCTAAAAATGTAAACAATTTAACCCTTCAAAGTATATTAAATTTCCATGTTCGAACTAGTGTTCTCAAACAAATAACAAATATTCAGGCCTGTGTTCCTGAATTTTGAACATATGTTCAGGAGTTTAGTACCGAACAAAATACGAACAATTTTTACCATTTTTGCTGTGTTTTTCAAGAAATTTACCCTTACAAGGCCAATCTCCTCAAAGTTAAGAACATCATCAAAACTATAAACCTCCTCTAAATTTGCATTGTTGTACTCCTCTTGTCTCATAAAGTTGTGGTTGTCGAAAAAACTTTCGCTCATTGTCATTGTTAGATAAGTGTGTGATCGAATGTTTGCAAGCGTTGCTGATGGAATATCACCACCGGAGGATTCTCAAAGTTTTGAGGGTGGATAGGTTTTGAGGGGGGGATTTGAAAAAATGGACGAGTGATGATGGAATTAGGTGCTCTCATAAACTATATCTAATGATTTAGTGGGCGTGTTGGCTTAATTGTAAGATGAAGTGTCCCAAAATGATTGATGTTCTCTTTAGTATTATTGTAAAAAAAAATGTTAAAAAATGGAAAGTCTAAAATAATAAATGAAATGCTAATAGTAACACTTATTTCAATTTATGTAGATTGCTAATATAAAATTTTAGTTGGTCCAAACAATACTCATATATAATTTTCTTTTCAATTGAGCCCCACATGATTTTTGAGGGGGGCCTCTAGGCCTCAAGCAATAAAAAAAATATTCAGCCTATTAGAATTGAAAATAAAAATGGATATGCCAAGAACCATAATAAAATGGAGTTTGTTTAAAACATAGGCTGAACTATCAATAAATCCTAAAATGTGATTTTATGAACTATTTAATCTTTCCTTTTTTCTTATGAACCCAAAAGTCCTATTAAAGTAGAAATTACATCAAAGGGTAGGTACTTACATGTTTGGGTTTAATTAAGGGATAAAATTGGATTTCTCAAAACGTAAAATTACATATTTGGACAATTTGCATTATAGAAGTTTTAGAGTTTCCCCATTCTAGAATAAATCCCACATTACGAACAAAAACCTAACACTTTAATGTAACACTCTAATAACATAACACTTCAATGTAACATATTAAAAAATTTCTTGGTGTACCTTTTCCAAACTTAATAATGTAACACTCAAAAAAAAACTCTTTAGTGTACTTTTTCCAAACGTAACGCTCCAATGTAACATAAAAAAAAAAAATCTTGATATACTTTTTCCAAGCGTAACACTCGAATAAGTGTAAACCCAAATGTAACACTTCAATGTAACACACAAAAAACACTGAAAAAACTCCTTAGTGCACTTTTTCAAACGTAATACTCACAGTTTGAAATTATACATTTGCCTAAAAACTTACTAAGGAATATTTGTACTCTTTTTGAAATGGTTTGAAAAATTTCACATTTTTTTTTTGTGTTACATTGGAACGTTACGTTCGGAAAAAGTATACTAAAGAGTTTTTTTGTGTGTTACATTAAAATGTTACACTAAGGAATGTTTTTGGTGTTATATTGAAGTGTTACATATGGAAAAAGTATACTAAAGATTTTTTTTGTATGTTACATTAAAATGTTACACTAAGGAATTTTTGTGTATTACATTAGAGTGTTACACTACGGAGTGTTTTTAGAGTATTATATTAGAGTGTTACATTTGGAAAAAGTACATTAAGAATTTTTTGTATGTTACATTAGAGTGTTACATTAAAGAGTTTTTGTGGGTTACACTAAGAAATTTTTTTGGAGTGTTACGTTTGAAAAAAAATATACTAAGGAGTTTTTTTGTGTGTTACATTAAAATGTTACAATAAGGAATTTTTGTGTATTACAGTAGAGTGTTACACTAAGGAGTTTTTTTAGAGTGTTATATTGGAGTGTTACGTTTGGGAAAGGTACAGTAAGTAGTTTTTTTTTTTATGTGTTACATTAAGGTATTACACTAAGATATTTTTTTGGAGTGTTATGTTTGAAAAAAAATATACTAAGGAGTTTTTTTGTGTGTTACATTAAAGTGTTACAATAAGGAATTTTTGTGTATTACATTAGAGCGTTACACTAAGGAGTTTTTTTTGGAGTGTTATATTGGAGTGTTATGTTTGAGAAAGGTACAGTAAGTAGTTTTTTTTTATGTGTTACATTAGGGTATTACACTAAGATATATTTTTTAGTGTTACATTGAAGTGTTACGTTTGAGTGTTATATTGGAGTATTACAGCTTGAATTCATATATTTGGCCAAAACTTAGCAAGCAACTTTTGTACTTCTTTTGAAATGTTTGAAAAATCCCACATTCTTTTGAAATATTTAAAGAATCCCATATTTTAAGTCATTTTTGTTTTGAAAGTTTTTCCAAATAAAAAATATTTTTATATAAAAATTTATCCCAAATTTGATTCTCATATATTGTGTACCTTACCTTTTTAGCACAAAAGAAAAAATGGGAAAGAAAATAATCGAAATAAGAGTATAACCGTAAATCTAATTTTTAAATAATGTATTAAATCTATCTTTTCAAAATCAATAGGACTAATTGGTCTATAAGAAAATCCTTAAGACTAAATGGATCATCATTCCTCAATATGAGATTTATAGGTAAATTTTCCTAAAACATATTGGGGGAAATTACCAATAAAAATTCAAGATTTGACTGTCACGCTCCCAAAATAATTACAATAATACATCTATAAATAACTAATACCAAAAGACATGAACAAAATAACAGACTTTCATTAGTTAGAGTTAATTTACATGAATGACACATGGGATAGACATTCATAAACTCTACCTTGAATCTATAGCATGTGATACCAGTTAATGATCAACAAAATAAATGCCCTAGAGGCTTACATCTTTCCAAGATTATGCTTGGTTACAATAAAAGAGAGTCTTAAGCTCTATACATATAAAGGCCCAGGCTTATACAAATATTAAATACAATACAACAAAAAACAGAGCCTTCAGCTCCTAGGTCCTCCCAAGTTAAGTCCTTGGAGGAGGCACGTCACCAGCACCTAGCACCTGAAAATGGTTTCCCAAGTAAGGTGAGCCAAAACCTAGTAGAAACAATCTAACACAATATATGAATATTAATGAGAATATAAGTATGATGCATATGCTCAATGCCCAAATGACAAATCTTTTACAACTTTTTCCACAACCATGTTATGTCAAACTCACATCTCAATTAATTAATTATACCCACTTCATTTAGTCAACCAAACAAAGGATACACCCTATAGGCCCCCACCAATATGATTATCATACAAAATACATTCATTGCTATTTTACGAAAATTTTGTCCGCGGGAATCAACACTCATGTATATGCGCTGTTTTCGAGACTTTCACCTTGGACACACAGGCCAACTTAGTTTAATGGAATCCATCCTCTTTCTCTTTCCAAACATGGAGTATACCCCCTTTTCCCTCCCAAACATCATACATGTACAATGTATATAAATCATAATCATACTCAATGATAGTGGCTAAGAGATTTGTTTCAATTTGCCTAATCCACATGCTATTTCTACAACAATCCTGATTATCCTCTACCGATAGTCCAAAATAGATATTTTTAAACAGATATACAATCTTTATAACAGGTAAATTGTCCAAATTTCCATAGGTGCAAGATAATTCGTATCTAATTCCACCATTTTTTAAACATCCCTCCAATTTTATATTCCCAGTACCAATTTCATTATTTATATAAAAAAAAAATATTCAAGGCATTTTAGGGCAATCCCCTTTTTCTTAATCTCATTCCAAACACCAAAATCAACCATTTCAAAACAACCAAGCTCATATCTACTCTCATAACCATTTTCAACACGTTAATTTGAAAACCCCTCTTTTGATTTTAACCCAAATCTTAGGTTTGTTCAAAATCACAAGTCTCAACACTTTTACCCCTCAACAAAAACCTTTATACATTAAATTTGAATTTTTAATTTTATCAATTTAAATTCTAAACTTTTATTTGTTTTCAATTTAAGCCATCTATCTTTTTTCGCTAAATAAAACCGATAAAAAAATTAGTATTTTAGTTATTAAACTCAATTAAGCCACTGCTATTTTTGTCTCAATTTCAAAATTTGTAAACTGGGTTCAGAAATTAATCAAAGTCAGCTTGTCCATTGAATGTATTTTCCAAAGCATTGGACTGATTGATCAATATATATATATATATATATATATTTGTTTGTTGTTTGGCAAACAGAAAAGAAAATTTATTCATAACAGAAAAGAAACCATCCCACATGGCTCCCATTATCTAAACATCATATAGGTTTTCATGATTGACATGACAAGAAACAAGACTTGAAGCAAATCATATAGAAAATATAGTTTGTACCACAGTGAGTACAAGCAACAAAAGAGCAGCAAGAAACGAGATGAGTGCCTATGGAGTGTTGAAATAATTCCGACTTAAGATCTCCAATCATCTGTTCAAACTCTCCATGTAATGCTTGTTCACATTGTTATAAACTTCATGGTAACCAAAAAAATGTATCATGACATTGTTGCCGAGCTTGCTCCACATAGTGGAAACCACCGCATGGCCACCTAAAAGGTTATGAATAATTCCATGGTTACTCAGTATTTCGACATCTTTTAAGGAGTTCACGAGGAAATCCAAGAACTTCATATACGCAGTGAAATAATTCCTTGAAGTATCATGAATAGGAAGGTAATTCTCGTATGCAATTAAATTTCTTAGAAAAGACTCTGTATTGTTGTCAACTTTTAAAGTCAGGATTTCAACTGTTCCATTTACGAACTTATGTTGAACAAACTCCCTTCCTCAACCTTCTTGAATTTGATCCCAGCTTCATGAAGCTCTGTCGTAGACTTAAGGAATTCTTTTTTTATTGGAACATTGTTGCTTTGGGATACCATTGAATGAAATTGATAGCAACAACAATAATGCAACAGGCCTAGAAGATGTTTGATGTCAATGTCCCCTAGATCTCTTAAAGGAGGTACTAAAAGTTTACACGGTGTTGCCTCTTTGAAAAATGTGCAGGACATGCAAACGAAGCTGTTTGGTGACGCTGCAGGATTTTGGGGCATGGTGAACAACTTCAAGAGGACAACGAATGGAAGTTGATTTTCAAAGAACATTAAATCAGGCCTTATGCTCGATTGAATATGTGCCAACTGGAAAATGGGGTCATCCTTTCTGAGTTCCACATTCCTATACTTGTGAAATAACTGGATGATGAAGCAACTGTCAAGAAGCATCATTTCCACAAACTCATTTGAATCAAGGCGAATGGGATCTGCATAAAACTTGCGTGCCTTTTTTTTTTTTTCGGAATCTCACATCGCCATAATGTAGTTTTCCACGCTAACTGTTGCAAGTAACGTAATTTATGGTCTTCCATTGGTTTCAATTTATCCTTACAATGGTGATAACACTACAGGAATTTGGAGATTTAACGGCGTTTAATTAACGGCATTTTATTAAACGTCACTTTTTTTTTTAAATTAACGGCGTTTTTTAAACGTCACAATTGTTATTAATTAAAACGGTGCCGTTTTGTGATCAGAAGACGTTTGAAAAGCGCCTCCAAATCCTGTCTCTCCTCTAGCCCTGTCCTATCTCTCCAAACCTTTATCTTGAAAACCCTATTTTGAGCACCGCCGTCTACATATGAAGTTCGAATCTCTTCCTCATTCTCTCTTTCTCTCTCACTCAGAGGATCGAATCAATATGAAGTTCTCTCTCTCGATTCGGTGTTTCTTCTTCAACTCGGTGATTCTTCTTCTTGAGCACAGCGCGATTGCGATTTCGAAGTTCGATTTTGAGCACCGTGATTTGGAACTCTTCTTCAGATCCGTGATCTTCGTCTTCTTCGATCAGAGGTTAGATGTTTCTTCTGTGCTCTGTTTGGAAATCTTCGTCTTCTTAAATGTTTCTTTCTTAGATGTTTCTTCAGCTCCGTGAATCTCTTCTTCTGTGCTCTGTTTTCACTTTTTGCTTACATCATTATCTTCTTCGTTTCTAGTTTTACTTATTGTTCTGCTCAAATCACTATTAGGTGATGATCGATGATTCACATCAGTTTGTCTCTATTTGATTTTTTCTTTCTTTGCTTTTAAGATCTGCATATATACATACAATTTAATTTGTCTATTTATGAATTATATGATGTATAAAATATGTGTGTGATTTCGTTTTGATCAAAGCAATCACTTGATTTTCTTTTTGGTGGTTGTGATTTTTTTTCCCCCCTCTGCATTTTACTTGAATTTCTGTAATCTGGAGAATTATGGTGATTATGATTCACATAATTATGGAGGAGTGAAAGGTACATAGTAATTTTAGAATTTGTTGAACATGCCAATTGTCTAATATAAAATTATTTGAATTAAAACTAATCAAAAGAAAATGAACATAGTAATCAGAGTTTGAATTTAAATTATTTTAATATGATTTATTTTTTTATATTTAATTAAATTTGCATTTAAAAAAAATAAGTCCTCAAGCCTGATCTTGTGAGTTTGGTGATCTGTGAGTTTTGTCACTCTCAATCTATTTCTGATTGTGTTTGAGCTGTCAGTATATCATATCATTTGTCTTTTTCAGGTATAAAGGCACATACTGCAGTCAGGAGGTGGCTATCAAAGTCCTCAAGCCTGATCTTGTGAATAAAGATATGCTGAGAGAGTTTGCCCAGGAAGTGTTCATTATGAGGTCTGTTAGATTAAACCCTTATAGGTGTGGCAGGCACTATTTATTTTTATTTTTATCTAGCACGAGTTAGTTCATCCTTTTCTAAAATTGATAGTGAAAGGAGTGCTCTTTTATGCTTCTAGAGGTTGTGCCGGAATGTAGTAAAATTTTTCCAGTATATCTTCCTGAGGATTGCATAGAGGCAGTCGCTTCGCTGGATTCTTCATTGTCCAGGTCAGTTTTTTCAAATTTTTTTGGCTTCTTTGTTGCAAGGGTATTCAATTATTTAATCAATTATGTATAAAGTTCATCTGGGTCCAGCTGAAGAGGCTGCTTACTGTTTTTTGGCATGCCTTTAATCTGGACTGAAATGTGGTGATTTTCTAGACAACCTAAGATAGATTTGAAGTTTTGGGTTTGTACGGCTAAAATTGGATTGTTCCTACTTTCATGGAGATTGTTCTGGTTGGAAGAAGCTGACATTAAGAAAATTCTGCCTGTTCTTCTTTTTTTACAACTTATTTTGGTTCTTGCAGGAAAATTCAGCGCACGAATGTTGTACAATTCATAGGCACGTGCACACGAACTCCAAACCTGTGCATTTTGACTGGTACTTCCAGTGAAATTTTTATTTGTATAATGCTATATGCTATTCTTAGGTGATAATATGTATCACCATAAGGTATATTATGTTGATGGAAAGGACTATTAATCTGAATTGGAATAAATCCAAAATGTGACTATTGTTCCAGCATTATGGTCTATTATAAGTTATAACCTTGTGTGAAATTCTAAGTGATAATTCATCCTTGCTATGAGGAAAATAATCACTTTTTGATGATCCTGTTTCTTTTTCTTCTTCTATATCCATTTCTCTTTCTATTTGATCATTTCTTTCTGATTTTTTAATTTTAGCTCTTCGTTTTTCATCAAACACAATGGAAAGAATGAGAATAGATCTTGTCCAGATTGGTTTGAGGTTGGAATGTCAGTTGTAAATATTCCAAAGTTTTTTCTTTTTTCTTTCTTTCCATTTTTCCTTTATTCTCGCGGAAACCAAACAATGAGTGACTGACACGTGTTATTTGGTGGTGGGATTAGGAGAGAAGAAGAGCATAAACCCGGAGCTATGGCAAGCGTGCGCAGGTCCTCTGGTGAACTTGCTGGCCGTTGGGACCCATGTCGTCTACTTCCCTCAAGGCCACAACAAATAGGTTTGCTGTTATATATATAGATATATATGTACAAAAACAAACACGAACACACACACACACACACACACACACACACACACACACACACACACACATACTACCATATATTATTCTTGCTATCATGCGCCATATGGTTAATCTTCAAAGCTAATTTTCCAAGATGTTTAGGGCTTGGGGTTTCATTTATTGTGTGCTGGCGTTGAATTTTGCTTCAACTAGTTTGTTGCCTAAAATGTGGAATTAACAGTGCCAAACTATCCAAATCTTCTCAAATCCCAAACTATCCAAATCTTCCCTCAAAGCTACTATGCCTCCTTCACAATGTCATGTTGCATGTATAACTGGCTTTAATTAGCTTTCATTTCTTTTATGCAAAAACGGGTCAATAGTAGTAATTTCTTGTCATCAGCTAATTCAATCATGTTTATTTCCTAGGCGGATCTAGAAATGGACGAAGTATATGCTCAGATGATGCTTCAACCTGTTCCCTCTGTAAGTACTTGCTGCAATATTAACTGTTGCATTATCCTTGTAGTAAAACTATCCATAAAACAAAGTTGATCGACGAACAAAAAATGAAAAAGAAAGTTTGAAGGTATAGGAAGATTTAGTCCATAATAATGTCCAAGGTAAGAAAGGATTATTACATTTAATTTTAAATTGCCTAATCAAACTGAATCTATCTACACCTTTTGTTACAGTTTGACAAGGATGCATTATTGAGATCAGATCTTTCAATGAAGGCAAATAAACCACAAACAGAGTTTTTTTGCAAAACTTTGACAGCGAGTGATACAAGCACTCATGGATCTTTCAATGAAGGATGCATTATTTAGCTGATTAGTGTTTCAATGAATTGTCCATTTCGATAAAATATGAACATTTGATGGGACAACTAAGCAGGCCCTTAGATTTTATTGTCATATGTTCACTGTTCTAAACCTTATGTAGGTATGTGTGTAACATAGTTTGTATACTTCTTTATATTAACTGAGTTTTATTGGTGACACCTATTATTAATTGATCACAAGGAAGTTATTGACCCTACGCTAGTATTTAGCTGATTAGTGTTTCAACGAATTGTCCATTTCTGTTCATTAGCTTTCACTATGAAGTTAAAGCACATGCTTGGTGTTTCTAAATGTCACACTAATATGTTGATAATTGATGCAGATTGACTTGTCTTCCCACATTGTTAGGGTTTACTTGACTTTGAAGGTACTACTTTAACATGACTTTGAATGATTTGAAGAATACATGGTCTTTATTTCTATGAATTTATTTCCAGTCGTGTTGGTTATTTTATTCCTCTGCCAGGATTTGATAGAAGGTTAATATGTTGATAATTGATGCAGATTGACTTGTCTTCCCACATTTGATTTTTTTTGCATCTAGTATGTTGGG